CTTTCTTTCCCTGGTTTAAAGGGGGGAACTTAGGAGCCTTAGCTAGTGCCTGTTAAGTCGGAGTGTGTCTACTGAGACTCTCGCCCATCTTCAATCGTACCATCCTTTTCTCAGGGACTTTTTGAGCTAAGCTTTCTTTTAACAAGCGGAATCCCACACCAATAAAGAAATATTTAAAAAAAAAAAAAAAAAAAAAAAAGAACCACAGTTCACATAATGATATGATCAATAGGCTCCTTCATACACTAGTTCCCCAGAAGAATATAAGGCAGAGATTTTGCCTGCTTTGTTCCCTGATAAGACCCTACTGCTTGGTACAGGACCTGCCACATTGTATGCCCATTAACATTCTTTGGAAGAGTAAATACTAACACATTTATGCATCTATATGGCTATTGTGTGTATACATGTGTGGACTCACACATGTGTTCATGTATATGTATTGTGTGCACACGTGTGGAAGGAAACCAGAGGTTAACCTTGAGTATCAATCCTCAGTAACCATCCACCTTGGTTGTATTTTCTAATTACATGCTATAGCACACTTGTGGAGGTCCGAGAACAACTTTCAGGAGTCAGTTCTCCTTCCGGCAGTGAATCCCTGAGACCAAACTCAAGTAGTCAGGCTTAGTGACAGACGTCTTGACAACTACCTCGTGTTGGAGACAGGCTGTCTCAGTGGCCTGGATGACAAGCCCCAGGACCTGCCTGTCACTGTCTCCCAGCAATAGGATCCTCCAGTTCTTCACATTGATTTTAGGACCACACATAGGGACCCATTCTTCCACAGAAAGCACTTTTCCTACTAGCTATCCTCAGTCACTCTATAGATATGCTTGAACAATTGCTTCCTTATATATTCCTATCTATAGTTTAAAAAAAATTGTTATGTACAGTGTTCTGCCTGCATGTATCCCTGCACACCGGAAGAGGGCACCAGATTTCATTACAGATGGTTGTGAGCCACCATGTGGTTGCTGGGAATTGAACTCAGGACCTCTGGAAGAGCAGTAAGTGCTCTTAACCTCCAAGTCAACTCTCCAGCACCCTATCCATGCTGTTTGCTGGTTTATTTTGATAAACTAGGAACCTCATCTTTAAAGTTCAGTGTAGTCAAAATAAGAAACTCTTGTGTGTTCATTTCCCAGTATTGCTGTGATAGATTACAGAAGTTAAAGTAACATAAATGCAGTTTCTCCCAGCTCTAGGCACCTGATGTGCAAAATGGGTTGTGAGAGGTGGCTGTAATATTTCTTGAGGTTTCAGCGGAGAAACCATGTGTTCTCCAGCTTCTAAAGGCTGCGTTCCTTGTCCTTCACACCTCATTCTGACCTCAGTTTCCCCTTTATATCTCCTTTGAAGCTAATTCTCCTGCCTCCCCTTTGCCCTTAAACACCTTGATGGCTATATTGGGCACAGCTGGATAATTTGACATCATTTCTCCATCTCAAGAGTTTAGCTTAATCATATCTACAAAGTCCCCTTTGCCGTGAAAAATAACATAAAAGGTTCCAGGAATTCAACGCAGGCATCTTTTGGGTTGCATTATTCTGCCTGCCACAGTATGGGAGAAATTGGGTGTAAATATCGGCATTATCACCCACGCACCCATCTACCTCTGAATGTGTGTTGAATCCCTACTTACTATATTCTGAACAAAAGCTAAGAAATACATCACCTGGCTCTGTGGCCTTGCCTGGTTATATAACCTACTTGCAGAACTACAGGAATTACTGCATGGCTCACAGGAAATGCTGCATGTAAAGTGTCTGCAGGCACCCCTTCCACTTGAGAATTCGGGAATATGTGACTAAATGTAAGGAAAACACTGGAGGAAGAGAAACATCCTCTTAGAGGCTGCTGACGTGAAGGGACTGGTAGACATTTTGGAAGGCAATGTAATAAAGGTAATGAAAACTCAGATAAATGCTTCCTTTTATCCCATTAATCATCCACTTCCAGGAATGTACCTCGAGGGTCTGGTTGAACTTCTCTACAATGCAGCTAGTGAAACGCTATATATTTAATGCTTGTGGAGAGGAGTGGGAGCCCACCGAATGTTCTCAAATAATAATTAGATAAACAAACATATGCATCCACATTACAGAAAACTCCACCACATAAAGGGCTTTAAAAGATTATTACATCAGAGATTTGTGAAATATTAATTGTCACATTAATTAATGACAGATTCGGGGGTCTACCACTGAGCTATATCCCAGCACTCTATACTTTGTGTTGGAGGGTCCACATCTGTAACTCGGGCTGACTTTGAATTTGCTTCAGCATCTGGAATAGCGAGGATTACAGCCTCTGCCACCTGTATAATCCAAAACTCAGGTTTCAAATCCGGGTAATTTATTATTTCATATAGATAAAAATGTGTGTGTGTGTGTGTGTGTGTGTGTGCGTGCGCGCTTGCGCTTCATGATGTTAACCGAGGTCATTCCTGGGTAATGGAACAGTCGTATTTTGGCCTCACTTGTATTTCTTATGGACTAACAATAAAGGGGGGTGGGGGATTTTGAGAGACATCCTCCTAGATTTGCTTACCTAGCAGTTCTAGGCAGTTACAAACACGACCCAAGATGTCCCTCTAGTGGAAGGCGGAACGCGGCTGCAGCTGGCACCTGATTGTGACTTTGAGAAACAGCATATTCAAGATTTTTGCAAACAAGAAGCAGAAATGCGCACCCAGAATCAGCACCTCTTTCCCAGCGTGCGGTTTAGTCTCTACTTTTGTAATTATCTCCTTCAAAAATTTTGAATAAGCACAGTACTTTATGCATTTCTGCTTCTTGTTTGCTAACATTCTGAGCTGTCGATATTGGAGGGTTATGATAAATAGACTTCTCTGTTGGCATTTTGTTAGTTTATGTTCTGGGTCTAGAGAACCAAAACTCGAAGCCACCCGGTTACCGCCTGAACGGGACACCTTCCTGCGCACTAAGGCCTTCAAGGCTTTCAGCGCCTGTCGGCTAAGTTCGGCTGCCTCCAGCCCTCTGGCTCGGCTTCATTCGGGACACATTTGTCCCCGCCTCGATTCTTCGTCGGCTACAATTGGTTGGCTCTTCTCTTGGACTCGGCTCCCTTCGGCTACGTCCGGCCTACTCTCGTCTCAAACTGTTGCAGCGTTCTTTGTCCGGCGATCCTCCGGCCTCGGCGTTCATCCGCGGCGTTCGGCCAGCGCTCGGCTCGGCTCGGCTCGGCTCGGCTCGGCTCGGCTCGGCTCGGCTCGGCTCGGCTCGGCTCGGCTCGGCTCGGCTCTTTCCGTCCTCATCTGGCCGCGGCCCCGGAAGAGCTCCTATGGAGCGGGGCTTCCTGGCCGTACACAAGGCAATGGCGCCGCTGTTGGAGTATGAGAGGCAGCTGGTGCTGGAACTGCTCGACAGCGACGGGCTGGTGGTGTGCGCCCGCGGGCTAGGCGCCGACCGGCTCCTCTACCATTTTCTGCGGCTGCACTGTCACCCGGCCTGCCTGGTGCTGGTGCTCAACACGCAGCCGGCCGAGGAGGTGCGACTGCGAGATGGGTGGACCCGAGGGCGAGGGGACATCTGGGCCGCTACCCGCGCGGCGTGGGCGCGAAGCTGTGCGTTTGCAGGGGCCCCGAGCCAGCGCAGGTCTCAAACGGCACACGAAAGGGAATGAATGGAGGTCCCGGAGGGAGATTCAGGGCACCCACATAGTTCTAGGGCGCTGCGAAGGAGGGAAGGGAACCCCAGAAAGTCCAAGTGGCTGCCACGACTTGGGAGGGCATTGAGAGCCGGTCCTTGAAGGAGACCCAGGGCTCTGACACTGCGAGAGGACCCTGCAAAGGAGGGAACGCGTCCCCGGGAAGTCTTGGCTTTCTCGCTTGACAGGGAGGGCACTGAATAGAGCTCTTTGGGAGAGATACAGGGCCCACAGCTTGAGGACACTAAGAATGCGGCTCCCACACACTCTCTGACAGTGAAAAAGAGAGGAGACTAGGGTACACGTTGAGGTAGGGGAGTGGAATGGATTGCGCTGCAAAGGCGGGAAGCTGTCAGAATAATGCAGAATAAAGCTGTAGGAATAATGTGTGAGCTTGGAAGTAAAGTATTAAGGGTATCTCCGGGGACAGAAGAGTGGGGTCCCTAAAAGGACAATGGAAAGTAGACCTTAATGCTGCACAAAAGAAGGACTAGGGAAATAACGTTAGGAAGAGAAGAGACTGGAAGCTAAGGGTATTGGGAGACGTTAATCCAGGTTAGGGAGAATAGGTAGGTGATCCTGAGGACAGTGGAATGCGGCACACCTTGCTGGGAAATGTTAAGAGATGGGAACTTAGCCTAGCATGATAAATCTGGTGATCCTCTAGATAGAGTGGCCAAGAAGAAAGTGTCAGCTGAGAAGAGGCGCTGTTGGACTCCCTGGGTATCGCCAGTGCTTGGCATGGGACTTCATGCAATGCAAGATGCCCAGGAAAGTGGCATTGAACTGAGAGCCTATCAACCATGGGACCTGTGGAAATTCTGAAATCTCTCTAGGATGTGTCAATACTGCTGTAACTAATAATGCAGCACTAACAGTCTCAAGCATTGTCTGCAGAGAGGAATCCCCTACCTCACAGAGTATGTTGGCTGAAAAACCTGGCTTTAGTGGCAAGTAGTTTCTAGGTAGTAGAACACCTTTAACCCAAGTTTTTAAAAGGTTCTGTTTGGGGTTTGGTGTTGAATGCAAATAATGACTGAAACACAATTATTTTGTAGTGTGAACTCCAAAGCACAACTAAACTAATCTTAGTTAAAGTAACCCAATAGGCGGATGGGTATAAAGGAATAACTTAGTTTGTATATTCACTGTGATGGTCCCGAATCTGAGAATGGAGACGTCATTTGAAATCTCTGCAGCCTATTTTAAAAGTGTCCTGCCCTGTATTAAACAGCTCACTAATGAGTTTAATCTTATTTAGGAATACTTTATCAATCAGTTGAAGATAGAAGGAGTTGAACACCTCCCTCGACGCGTGACAAATGAAATCACAAGTAACAGTCGTTATGAAGTGTACACACAAGGTGGTATTATATTCGCAACAAGTCGAATACTTGTGGTTGATTTCTTGACTGACAGAATACCTTCAGATTTAATAACTGGTAAGAATTTGAAATCTTCCTTATATACAAAGTGAGCATTTCTATTTGTGTCTATCTCCTCTGCTAAATGCTAAACTGGTTCTTATTATTCAGCATTGTAGTTAAACTGTTGGCATAATACCTGACACATTGTAGATATTCAGTCAATATTTATGACATAAATAAGTATGGCTACATGTCACTTAATGGTCACAGGTTCTCAGGCTGTATGATTTAGTTATTGTATGAAGACCTTAGAGCTTACATACAAGAACCTGCATGGATGATGGCCTAGAGAGGTGGGTCAGAGGTTAAGGTTGCACACTGCTCTTGCAGAAGACAGTAGCTCAGTTCCCAGCACCCTTATCAGTGGCTCACAACTGACCCATAACTCCAGCTCCAGGGGATCTGAGAGTACTGCACTCAACATGCACACTCCCCCCTCTCCCATCATACATGCACAAACATTCATGCATAATTTTTAAATAAAAATAAATTTTTAAAATTCCTAAATGTTACAACTCAGTTAGATGTTGACCTCTCGATGCAATCAAGAGACATAGTAAACATGAGCTTTTGGGCCTGATGCTGCCATTGACACAGCACAGTGTTTTATGGCTGATTTGTTTATATAACTAGAAGGGGACCTCCAAAATAAGGAAGAAAAGCACAGTATAGTAAACTAACCAGACGATCACTTGCTATATTACTGAGTTTTATGTATACTGCACATAACTGCGCATGCTATATGCTTATGTGACTAGTGGCACAGTGGTGTGTTTGTTATAGATGTTCTTACTTATTATGTTTAGGGATGTTTTGCCTGTACCACATGCATGTCTGGTACCTGCAGAGGTCAGAAGAGATTATTAGATTCCTGGAACTGGAGTTACAGATGGTTGTGAGCCACCATGTGGGTTCTGGGAATGAAACCTGGATCCTCTGGAAGAATAAGTGCTCTTAACCACTGAGCCCTCTCCAGCCACAGTCTTTGTATCGGCATACAAACCCATAAAGAGTCATGATCTGACAGAGGTGTACCTACTGAAACGTGGGTATTTGTCAGCTCTGTTTTAACTTTTAGTTGAAGCATCACTATTCATTGTGTGACTTTGTGTAAGATGTGGCCCCTTGTTTCCGAATCTTACTTTCACTAATATTGTAGTTGACAAGCATTTGCCTTTTGGGAATAGCCAGACTTGGTGTGTTTATCAATACTCTTCATAGATCTCTAAATGAATTTGCTCTCCTTCCTTTTCTGATGATTTAAATTAAACTACATAGTTATTAATGCTTTTGAGGGGAAGGGTAGGAGATCATTTTGGCTAGGAGTGGTATAGAAGCAATAAATTTCATTATTTTGAAATTGTCTCTTCAGAAACTGCTGCTTCCCTAAAGCTAATCTCAGAGCCCCGCCACTCTGCCATTAATCTACCCCGTGCCTCTCTACCCAGAGCACTCAGACACTACATTGCACTTGCCTGTTTATGTCTGGCTCACCTGTAAGATAAACTTTACCCCAGGAAGCATTTGTTCACCTGGCTGAATAGCCAGTTCAGGTTGCTAACACACGCTGGCTGGCTGATGTTGCCTTGTGTATGCACCGTGCTCAACAATGTCGGGAGGGCAGAAAACTGAGATTCACAAGCACACTTCCTACTGTATCCACCCGATCTTCCTGAATTTAGAAGCACCCCGAGGAACTTGGGGATGAGTGAGTAAAGGGCTGGTGAGGTTCCCGGAGCTACGGAAGGAGGTTTTGTCATTCTTTTCTAGCGTTTTCACTGTCTTAGACAGTGGCTTGAGCCTTGCAGCCAGACACACCTGACTTTGAGTGCCAATACCCACTCACAAACAAGGCCCTTAATTTTCCTGAACTTCATTTTTCTCATTTCTATTTTTTTTCAGATTTTTTTTATTGAAAATAGATTCTTCTCTCATACAATACATCCCAAATCCCAACCACAGTTTCCCCTCCCTCTACTCCTTCCAGCTCCCCCCACCTCCCCTCTCCCCCCAGACCCACTCCCCCTCCATTTCCTCTTCAGAAAAGAGCAGGCCTCTAAGAGATGACAGCCAAACATGACAAAACAAGGTATGTTGTGGTAGCGCCTGCACTACCGCCACCCATTCACCATGTCCAAGTGAGGGGCTATGGATTAAAAAATGCCGAATGCCGTTTATTGAAGGAGGGAGGAAACCTTAAATACAGGCTTACAGCACAATGGAGGATCCCCCGAGGGCAGAAGTTCGCTACCCAATGTTCTACATTCTTGCATCTAAGCTGTTTACACCAAATGCAGGATACACAAACAAAAAACCTCCAGTGAGCGTTCAGGAAGAAGGAAACCAGGAAACTGGCAGGGAATCAGCATAGGGAGGACATCTGGTCAAGGTCGGCAAGCAGGCAACAGTTTATTCAATAAAGGCCAGGGCCATACAGGTCCTCCCTTTTTACTAAAACATGAGCTTCTGACTTAGGTTGCATGGGACGTCAGCAGGTCACCTTACCCATCATGGAGACACCTGCCCAGGCCACACAAGTGCTCTGTCTTAGGTTGATGACCGCCCCCCAGGCATTACCCATCTCTGAATACTTATTATCATACAGACTCAACCACGTGAGCTGTAGAGTTAACTGCTGTCAAAGATCTCAAAGTGGCGCTGGGCTTGCAATCTGTGCAACACTGAAAAGACCAACCAACAGAAGTCCTAACCCACCCATAGCCAGGAGGCTAAAGGCAACTGAGCCATTCCCTTACTTAACGAGCCTTACTGCAAATTGGAGTCCTCGTAAGATGGTATCCCAAAGGCAAGTGGAACTTGAGTTTTTAAATTTATAACTATCAAAGCCAATCGAAATGTATATAACTATTGAATTAAATTTATCATGCCCAATAGAATGAAAGATTAACTAACTGTGGTAGCTACTTTTGCTGCCAGGGTCTCCATTGTGCTAGCTGTAGTAACTAATTATGGAAATAGCAATCCCAGAAACAGTAGCAGCGGTGGCCACCACCGCTATAACGGCAACAGCGATGTCAGATCCTCTTCTGGAGTGTGTGAGCATCATCTGTGTCTAACTGCCACGGTCCACTGGCATGGACACAGCTCCAGGAACACGAACCACCAAGGCCCATTTTTCTTGATCCCAGCACGACTTAGGCTGGCAGCTCTGCAAAAGAACAACTAAGAACCATAAAGAAAAACAGACAGCAAATAAGGAGCAGAACTAATGGTCTCATAATGGCTACATTCAGGCTCACAAATTTTAAGGTATCTTCAAAGGAGGCTAGATGAATTTCAGGAGGCCAATAAAAGTTGCACAGAGCCACTCCTGAAAAGGTAGGTACTACATCAGCTTGAAGAGGATTGTGAAAATCAAAAGGCTTAGCTGGCATGCTATTGTTAACAAATGAAGGTCAGTGACCTTCAGAGTTATCCTTAATCTCCAAGGTGTCTGGGTGACACATTCTCAAACATACTTGAAAGAGCAGTTACCATACATTACCTTCTGAAGAATCCAACCGCATGGCTACAGTTCCTAGGCTTACGTTAATGCTTGCCAAGGCTGGCCGTATTGGGCTCTCAATCCCCATTGGCATCAGAAGGGGAGAGTTTTTCATGAAGAACCAATAGGTCTCTGCCATGTTGAGCTTCAGCAGTAGCCACAGGGCACACAGCACTTAGGAACCCAAAGAGGAACCTCATTGTCCTGCGAAAAGACACAAACAGATCCCTGGGCCCACACCAACACCGGATCAGGTCCCCTCCAAGTGCCAGTAGAAAGATCCTTCCATCGCACCAGAGGACGATTTGCAACAGGAGCCCTCCAGTGCTTATTTGCATCGGATACTCCAGCAGAATAAGACAATAAGACAAGGCAATAGCCCTCACATCAAGGCTGGACAAGGCAACCCAAGAGTACAAAAAGAGTCCCAAGAGCAGGCAAAAGAGTCAGAGATGCACCCACTCCCACTGTTAGGAGTTGCACAAAAACACCAAGCTATCAGCCATAACATACACACAGAGGACCTGGTGCAGACCCACGCAGGCCCGTGTTTGCAGCTTCAGTGTCTGTGAGCCCATGTGAGCCCTGCTCAGTTGATTCAGTGAGCCATGTTCTCCTGTGTCCTCCGTCCCCTCTGGCTCCTATGGTCTTTCCTCCCTCTTCTCTGTGGGATTCCCCAGTCTCTAGGAGGGGGACCCTATGGAGACCTCCAATTTAGATTCTCCCCATAATGCTGTGGTCTGCATCTGCTCCCACCTGCTGCCAGAGGAAGCCTCTCTGATGGCAACTGGACAAGGCGATCTATGAGTTTAGTAGAATATCATTAGGAATCATTTCACTGATTTTATTTATTTATTTTTTTAAAACCATTGGTGTTTGGTTCTACTGCAAGTCTCTGGACTATCCAGTCTCCAGTTTCCAGCCATCTAAGCAGGATAGGTCTCAAGTTAAACCAGACATTGATGGCCACTCCCACAAGTTCTGCACCACCATTGCCTCAGCACATCTTGCATGCAGGACAGATTTAGGTCAAGGTTTTTGGTCCTGGATTGGTGTCCAGGTTTCTCCTTCCATAGCCTGCAAAGTACCTTCTCAGGTCAAAGAGACTAGAATATAGGAGTGAAGGATCCATGCAGACACCAGCTTGACCTCTCTACGTTCAGTGGGCTGAGTGGAAGTTGTCCTCAGCAATGAGACCCTGCTGTCAGTTTTCAGAGGGTTTTCTTCTGTCCTAGCAGCCATCTGAGTAATTCTTTTGTTGTCATTTTTTTTTTTTTTGAGACAGGACTTCTCTATGTAACAGCTCTGAATGCCCTAGAACTTGCTCTGTGGACCACACTGGCCTCAAACTCACAAAGATCCACCTCCCTCCATCTTCCTGGCATTAAAGACGTGTGCCGCCACCACTTGGCTCAGTCTGGGTTGTTTAGGGATCTCCACAGGACATCTTCAGCCAATATCTCAACTGAATGTAATCCAGTCCCACCACTGGAAGCCTTGCCTGTCTACAAAAGATGGCCAGTTCAGACTCCGTATCCTCCATTCCTAGGAGTCCTCACTAGGGTCACCCTTAGACATTCCAGGAAGTTTCCATTGCACTAGGTTTCCATTTCCACCCCAAAAGCCCCCTACTCCAGCTGTGGAGCCCCCTTCACCCCACCTGTGCCTCCTCCTGACCCCTCTGCTCCCGTCCTCACCCACCCTCAGTCCACCCACAGAATCTATCTATTTCCCTTTCCCAGGGAGATCCATGCCCCACCCCCAGCCCTCCTCTTTACCTAACCTCTCTGGGTCTATGGATTGTAGCTTCATTATTTGCTTAACAGATAATATTCACTTATAAGTGAATACATACCATATTTGTCTTTCTGGGTCTGGGTTACCTAACCCAGGATAATTCTTTTTAGTTGGATCCTTGCCTGAAATTTTCATGATGTTATTTTGTTTTTTTAACTGATGAGTAATACTCCATTGTGTAAATGGAAAAAACCATTTTCTTTCCATTCTTCAGTTGAGGGACATCTCAGTTTCCAGTTTCTGGCTATTATGAATAAATCCACAATGAACATTGTTGAGTATGTGTCCTTGTGGTAGGATGGAGCATCCTTTGGGTGTATACCCAAAAGTGGTATAGCTGGGTCCTGAGATAGATCGAGTTCCAACTTTCTGAGGAACCGGCATATTGATTTCCATAGTGGCTGTGCTCCCATAGTTTGCACTCCCACCAGCATTGGAGGAGCGTCCCCCTCTCCAGATGAGCTGTCACTTGTTTTTGGATCTTAGCCATTCTAACAGGTGTAAGATGGAATCTTAAAGTAGTTTTGATTTGCATTTCCTTGATGGCTAAAAATGTTGAACATTTCTTTAAGTGTTTCTCAGTCATTTGAGATTCCTCTGTTAAGAATTCTCTGTTTAGATCTGTACCCCATTTTTAATTGGATTGGTTTTTTTTTTAAATATCTAGTTTCCTGAGTTCTTTATATATTTTGGATATTAGCCATATATCAGATGTGGAGTTGGTAAAAGTCTTTTTCCATTCTGTAGGCCATTTCTTTGATTGGCAATGTCCTTTGCCTTGCAGAAGCTTTTCAGTTTCATGAGGTCCCATTTATTAATTGTTGATCTTAGTGCTTGTGCTATTGGTGTTCTATTCTGGAAGTTGTCTCCAGTACCAGTGTGTTCAAGGCTATTCCTCACTTTCTCTTCTGTCATGTTCAGTGTAACTGGTTTTATGTTGAGGTCTATTAAAGACTTGGACTTGAGTTTTGTGCAGAGTGATAAATGTAGATCTATTGGCATTCTTCTGCATACAGCCATCCAGTTTGACGAGTACCATTTGTTGAGGGTGCTGTCTTTTTTTCTAGTGTATATTTCTGGCATCTTTATCATACAAGCAGACAAGACACCCATACACTGTGTGTGTGTGTGTGTGTGTGTGTGTGTGTGTGTGTGTGTGTATTTAATTAAAAAACAGTGCCTCTTAGAATTAAACCCTAATAAACTGCACCAATAGTCGTCCTTTGTAGCTGGAGATATCCGTACATCCAAAGCTTACTTTATGTGTGTAAATATGGATTTTAAGTTGCTAACATGAAAACATTGTCTAGAAACTACCACTAGATGTCAGTATTACACCAATGTCAGTGGCCCTCACTAGGCCTGCACAGTCTGAATCCCACCCTCTCCCAGCTCACCCTACAGGTGAGTTCTTGACTGAAACTTCCAAAGTCAAGGCCATTCTGGTCCATGCTGTCCTGTCTCCTGAGAGGCTCCCATAGCACTCTACACACACACTGTGCACTGATGATGCTGGTTTACAAGGACCCCCAGTGGCTTCACTCAGCAGGAAGCGCATGGTAGAGCCTGTCAACCCTCCTTCTGGATGACCCCTGCCCTTTTTTTAATCTTAAAATAATCCCTACATTAAATGAAAACACACAGAACCCCCTGAACACAACTGCAGGAGCAAGCCTTGATTGCACGATGAGCCTTTGGGGATACTTCATGTCCAAATCATAGCATCAGTGGCCCAGGGTGGCCCAGCCTCAGAAAGCTTACCTAAATCCTGTTCTCAAAGCCTGTGCCTGGAGTTAGGGTTAGCTTTCTCCTTTCTTCTGACTTCCAAAACAATGACAACCTCTTAGGGCACACTGTCATAATTTAAGGCTCACTTATAGTTCAGAAGACCAGTTTTATTATTTTCAATTTTATGTGCTATTTCTATTGCATGTGGTATGCACATGTATATGTGTGTAGTTGTGTCACCTGTGTACTTACATGGACCAGAGAAGGATATTGAGCATCCTGCTCTATCTGTACCTTACGCCCTTGGGGCAGGGTCTCTCACTGAACTTGGAGGCAGGTTGGCAGCAAGCAAGCCCCAGTGATCCTCCTGTCTGTCTCCTATGGCTCTGGAGCTACCGGTGTGCACAGGGTGGCCATGCCAGCTCCCTGTGTAATGTTTCAACACAGGCTAACTACATGTGGCCCGTGGAATCCTTGAGAAAACCATCTACTTAGTTTAGAATATTTTCTGAGCAGTAAATGAGTATGCCATGTGCACCAGTATGATTGGAAGTTCTTTGTCCATAACCTCGTAAATGAATTTTCACTCACTTGCGTGTTGATTAGGGAGAGTAAATTTTACTGCCAGCCACCTTATCCAGAATTTCAAAATAAAGTAATAGGATCTGCAGTGAGTTATTGAGTGACAAGAAGGGCACATGGATCACTGTATCATTTTCAGGACCCAGTGAGTGAGGAGAGCAGGCCCCCAACAAGTGCATGTATGTACATGGACGTATTAATGTATATCAAGAAAGTGCATGTGTGTACATAGACGTATTAATGTATATCAAAACAAGTGTATGTGTGTACATGGACGTATTAATGTATATCAGCTTGATTTAGGTCTAAACGACTGTGAATCATCATAGAATGGTGAGTGTGACCCAGAAATGATGCCTGGCCTCTGTTAGATCTCCTACTTCTCTCTAATGTGTCACTAAACATACAACATCAAAATGGTACCAACAGGACCAGCAAGATGGCTCAGTGGGTAAAGGTACTTTGCCTCCAAGCCTGACCTGAGTTCCTCACCAGAATCCCCGTAGTGGAAGGAGAGAACCAATCCCAGAATTTGTCCTCTGACCTCCACCTATGCCATAACACACACGCACACGCGCACACACACACACACACACACACACACACACACACACACACTAAAGAAATAAATGTAATAAGAATGGTAGTGCATTAAAGGTCTCCTGTTTTAGTATCTTATATTTAAATTAAGAAACTTTATAATTATCTTTTATCTTACATGTATGTGTGTGCGCTCACAAGTGTGTAGGTGTGCATGTGTGTGGAGGCCCAAAGTTGACATTAGGTGTCTTCCTCAATCTCTCTCTTCTTTATTTGTTAAGGCAGGGTCACTTGCTGAAGCTGGAGCTTTCCAATCCTTGCTAATTTAGCTAGCAACTTGCTCAGGGGATCCCATGCCTCTGCCTCCCTGGTGCTGGGTACAGGTGGCCCCATACTTGCCTAGCTGTTATGTGGGTTCTAGGGGCACATGGCAAATCCTTTCTTCACCGAGCCATCTCTTCAGCCCTTGTTCTCGTTTTTTAAGATTCAGGGTCGTCGTACCACACAGACCACAAAAGTCATGTATTTCCAGGCATGGTGGTGCATACCTGTAATCTCAGTACTCAGGAGGCTGAAGCAAAAGGATCATGAATTTAATTAAGGCCAGGCTAAATTTAATTAAGGCCAGGCTAAGTTAAATATCAAGTTCCTGCCTCTACAAACAAAACAAAATGTTGTATTGAGTTTGGTTGGTCAAGGTTTTTGTTTTAAATAGTGTAATTTACCTCATTGTTGACTGTATCCTCAAAACTGACTTTATCTAATGGGATGCAGATGCTATCCAGACTTGTAAAATGGAGCTGTTTTATGTGGTCCGTCTGTTCACACTGTGTCCCACTCAAGACCTCTGCTCTTTTTCTCTCACTCAGCCTGATCTCTTTGTGGTCCAGACACTCACAGTCCAACGGCTCAGGAGACTCACTCCCTCACCTCCGCTTTCCGCTTGCACACTCATCACTGAATTTAAAACATAGATCACCACCTGTGCTGGCTCGTTGTATGTCCGTGTGACACAAGCTGGAGTCATTGGAAAGGAGGGAGCCTCAACTGAGAAAATGCCTCAGTAAGATTGGGCTGTAGGCAAGCCTGTAGGGCATTTTCTTAGTGGTCCATAGAGGAGGAGCATGGGTGGTGCCCATTGTGGGTGGTGCAACTCCTGGGCTGGGGGTCCTGGGTTCTATAAGAAAACAGGCTGAGCAAGCTAGGAGGAACAAGCCAGTAAGCAGCATCCCTCCATGGCCTCTACATCAGCTCCTGCCTCCAGGTTCCTGCCCTGGCTTCAATGATGAACAGCGATGTGGAAGTGTAAGCCGAATAACCGCTTCCCTCCCCAAGTTGCTTTTTATCATGGTGTTTCATTGCAGCAGCAGAAACCCTAATTAGAACACCACCCTTGTGTACACTTCCCCCTCTGATTTGTTTTCTCCTTAGCACTTGTAACATTAAACATTTTACCCACGTTATTTCAAGTTCTGCAAAAGAAAAAGGATTTACATCTGCACCCAACCTAGAGCAGGGCCTGCCTGTTTTCAAGTAGGTGTTCCAGAAAAGGGGAATGAGCCAGAGTGAGCGTGGGAGTCACCTGTGTCCACAACCCCTGTCTTCTTTAGGGTTACTGTTGCACTCTGATAAATCCCCTTTCTGTACATAGAGGTTCATCTTCTATGTTCTGTTACTCTAGAGAAGCCTGACTAATACAACCCCCACAGGCATCCTCGTGTACAGAGCACACAGGATCATCGAGTCCTGCCAAGAAGCCTTCATCCTGCGTCTCTTCCGCCAGAAGAACAAGCGTGGCTTCATCAAAGCTTTCACAGACAACGCTGTTGCTTTCGACACTGGTTTTTGTCATGTGGAAAGAGTGATGAGGAACCTTTTTGTGAGGAAGCTCTACCTGTGGCCGAGGTAATGACATTATGGGACAGCTTTGTGAGCAGAAGAGCCTTAACTTAGCTGCACTTTAGTGCAGTTGATAGAATACACGTGAAACTTGCCATCCTGTCCATAAGGACCTTTTTTAAAAAATACATTTGTGCGTGTGTGTGTCAATTTTGTGGAGAATACTAGTTGTACAATTATTTTTTTATTTAATTGTTCCTTATTTCAGAAGTAAAACCTGTCAATAAATGACCAGATAGTGAGTATTTTGGTAGTGGAGGCACAGTTAGCTCAGCCTTGCTGTTAGAAGCACAAAAGCAGAGCCAACAAGATGGCTCAGGGGTACAGGAGCTTGCCGCCAAACTCCGAGGACCTGAGTTCAATCCTGAGAACTCACCTGGAAGGAGAGAACTGACTATGGGCTGTCCTCTGAGCTCTGAGTGCTCAGACACACCACAAGTAAATAAAAACATGTAACTTTTAAAAGAATTAGAGTACGGGTGGCAAGATGGCTCAGTGTAAGTGCTAGCTACTAACCTTGATGACTCAAGTCCAATCGCAGGACCCACATGGTTGTCCTATGGTCACCACACATGCACTGTGGCACATACACACAAAATATGTGTGATCACGTTTTTTTTTTGGTTGTTTTGTTTTGTTTTATAAGAACACAAAGCAGCCATAGATAGCAGGAACCCAGTGGCTGGGGCTGTGCCCCTCACACTGTAGGAAAGCAGGTCCTGAGTTGGGCCAACACTGGTTTTCTGAGCCTGCCTTGCTTGAGTGATGCTCTTACTCAGAAAGGCCCGGTGTGTTCTTAAGCATTGCCATTTTGTTTCCATTTGGTTTGTAGCTGTTAATTTGGAAACTCTGTCTCCTTAGGTTCCATGTAGCAGTCAACTCGTTCTTAGAACAACACAAGCCTGAAGTCGTAGAGATTCACGTGTCCATGACTCCTGCCATGCTTTCCATTCAAACAGCCATACTAGACATCTTAAATGCGTGTCTGAAGGAACTGAAATGCCACAACCCATCACTAGAAGTGGAAGATTTGTCGTTAGAAAACGCTCTTGGGAAGCCATTTGACAAGGTCTGCTTCCTTTTTTTCTTCCTTCTGCAGCACAGCTGGTTAGGTTGTCATTTTAAAGAATGCAAGGCATTTTACTAGGCACCATGTCCTTTGTAGGGATTAAGCTGTCGGTGATTTAAAGTGGGGCTGCTTTACCTACGAGGAACTAGTAATTTGCGTGGTATCTGTGTTTGCCAAAGCTGACTCTTTGAGCTACATGGTGAGTAAATGTCTTGTTGTGAGAGTAATCGATGTTGTCTTGGTTCCAAAACGATGTCAGTGTCTTGGTGTCTGTAGACACAGAGTCTATACATGAATGCTTCGTAATTATACATCCCTAAACTTACCATCTTTTTTAAATAGAAAGTTGGATTTTTGGTGGAGGGTAATTTTGTTTTTGTTTTGAGATAGGGTTTCTCTGTGTAGCCCTGGCTGGCCTAGAACTCACTGTGTAGACCAGGCTGGCCTAGAACTCACTGTATAGACCAGGCTGGCCTAGAACTCACAGAGATCTGCCTGCCTCTGCCTCCCGAGTGCCGGGATTAAAGCAGTTCATTACTGAGACCTCTGTTCTGTCTCAAAATTACATTCTGAACTGAGAAAATGCTAAGTCTTCAATTCAAGGAATTTTTCTTGTTTTTTCACCATAGCTTAATATTAGATATGCAAGTATTCAGTCCTATAGTGAATTGTAGAACTCCAAAATACTACCTTTAAAAAATTCCAGGTCACATTTTTATAGAACATGCCACTGTCTTTTAAACTCTGAATCAGTCTTGGTGTTACTAGGAACAGTGTGGTGACCATGCAGAAGGAGAGGCCCACTGCTGTGAGATAATCATAGGCAGGATGGATCCTGTGTGTTGTGTCCTGTCCTGTCTTCCTTTGTCTTAGAGTGTGTTGAGCTTAGAGCGTGGGGATGACAAATCTTCATATTGTTCTAATAGAGTAGATATGTCCTAGAAAAGCAGAATGCATTATTCAACATTGACTTCTGTCTGATGTCGCTGACTGGTAAGAGTCAAGGGCTGTTTTGGGCACTCTTGCATTAATCACATCTACGTATAGACAGAGCTTGCGTCATAAAAACTTGAGGTTCCATGTGTCTTTTAACAAAAGGGGTCTGCTATTGTAGAATGTTTCCTTGTCACACGCATCCTAGTCTGGAGCATGAATTATAAGGTCACCCAGGTGCTACCCAGTGCTCAGTGTGCACTTGTCAGGTGAGAGACCCAGGAGGCTACTATTTCTGTTCATAAGAACAAGTTGGTGGCTTTCTGATACACAGCAGGCCTTTTCTGTCTATAGTGTAGAGTTGCATGCATGTTTGTGCATGTCTGCACACATGTGCATGCACAATTGTGTGGTGTGTGTGTGTGTGTGTGTGTGTTGTGTGCATGTGTGTGTGGATGTTGTACATGCTCCTGAATGTGTAGAGGCCAGAGGAGGACATGGAGTGACCTCTCTATCACTTCTTTGCCTCGTTTCCTTGAGAAAAGGGTCTTTCACTGAACCTAGAGCTAAGCTGACAGCTAGAATGCCCCAGAGATCTTTCTGTCTTTGCCCCTCATAGCTCTGGGGTTATAGGCACATGCCTGTGTTTTTATGTAGGTGCTAGGGATTTGAACTCAGGTCCTCCTGCTTGCACAGTGGACACTCTTACCCACCGAGCCATCTGACAGTCAGTTAATAAAAATCAAGGGAGATTAACTCCATCCCGTCATAAAAATTGTAGTAATAAGATATTACGCTTTTCAAACATTATTAGGATTTGGTGACCTGAAACTTTTTAGCCACTTTCTTGGAAAGAAATATTTAGGGAATCTTATTGTAGTAAAATATAAATAACAAAGCATTTAGCATTTTAAATATGTTTTTACATATCCAGTGAATAACCCTTATTGAAAGTATGGCTGTGTTAAGAAAAGCTATAATGAACATTTTTTAGCAGTAGTAAATTGTGTTCTCTTTCAGACAATCCGCCATTACTTGGACCCTTTATGGCACCAGCTTGGAGCCAAGACTAAATCCTTGGTGCAGGATCTGAAGATGCTGAGAACCTTGCTACAGTATCTCTCTCAGTATGACTGTGTCACATTCCTGAATCTTCTGGACTCTCTGAGAGCAACAGAGAAGGTGTTTGGTCAGAATTCAGGTGTGAGATAAAAATACTAATATTATTCTAGGAGCTGGTTGGAATCAAGTGTCAATGGGAGGAGTGCTCTATTCAACTGCGTGTTATAAATTGCATCTCATGTTCACTGCACAAGGATGTAAAGCTTTATTGAAAGCTAATGTTCCCGCCTACTTAACTTCTGTTCTGTGTAATAAATATTCATATCCATTCCTGGCAGTTTTATTTCCAGAAAAGACTTTGTAGTACAGACAGTCTCCAACTTGGAAATAGGTTATGTTCTGGAAGTTTAGTTGTTAGGAACTTAAAATTAATTTTACTCAAAGCGACCCCAAGGGATGGGTTCACCTGCTAGTGTCAGAGACTTGAGAGGTTTGTTTGGAGGTGTGTGCGTGGACAGCGACTGTCGTGCTAACCACTCAAGACCCTTGAGTCCTGGAGTCAAGTTATATGCAATTAATCATTTTTACTGCTTCTTTGGGACATTCTTAAATAACAAAATACAGAAGTGGGGATAGAGCTCCATGCTAGAGCACATATCTAGCACATGTACTATTCCCCAGCATTGTATACATACAAAAGTAATGAACTACAAAGGTACATGAGAAAAGGATTCATTCGTTGGTGGCACTTGGTACCACTGCCTTGGGTTATTCAGAGTTACCAGTAGAGTTTCTCACTACCATCCTTGGAAATGTCAGCACAATTGTCTTAGAGTTATTATAAGGAAAGTTTTGATATCTCATACCCCATGAAAACCTCTTGGGGAGTCCTAAAGGAGTTCCTGGGCCACACTTTGAAAACCACTGGTCTAGTCAAGTAGAGGCCACAGCAGTAAGAGAAACTGAGGCACAGTTGCTGTGAAAGCAAGATGGCAGCCAGTGGTCTATGTGGTCTTTGTGCCCATTAGAGTGTTTAAAATTACCACTAATTGAAGCCCTTTTTTTTAACCATTGTATTAGGTTGGCTTTTCCTGGATGCTAGCACCTCCATGTTTGTGAATGCTCGTGCACGAGTTTATCGAGTTCCAGATGCCAGACTGAACAAAAAGGCCAAAATGTCTGAAAAGGTGTCGAGTGCAGAAGGGCAAGGTGGGGTCTTAAAACACTTCTCTGTTTACACTGGTATGGAAGCAGGTGTCAGCTTAAAGCAAATTTAAAATCTTCTGTTCTGCATATAAATGCATGTAGTGTGTGGGAGGAGTATACAGTGAAACCAGGATGTGATCCATCGCCAGAGAACACCAATGTCAAAGGCCAGACATCAGTCAAGAGTGTTCTTATTGCTACATAAGAAACATTTCAACCATTACTATTTGGGGCATGTAAAGTCTTAATGAAACATTTTAGCATTCTTTGCAACTTTTAAAGATTATAAATACACTAGAGAGAAGTAACTGTAGGTTTTATTCTAGTTTCTACCTAGGAAGAGTCTGAGGCTTGGAATGGGATAGTTAATGCTTGTTTGTGCCTCGTCTAAAGATCTATTCAAAACAGTGTTTTCATAATCTGTTTGAATACTTGAAGAAAAAGTTACCTGTTTTTAGCCATGTTCGGGATTGTAGAAAGCACGGGCATATTAGAAATAATAAATACTGATGGCACCTATTCCTTGCTTTGCGTAGCTGCTTATGTACAGTGTCCCAAGTGGCAACAGAGCACCGGTTCTGTCGGCCATGCACACAGCCCATCCATGCATCCCATCACCTCTGCACACCCCAGCAGACCTGTCAGCAGGCTTTTCCAGGGCGGCAGCTCCTGTGTAGCATGGTAGAGGCCCAAGGACATGTCCTTTCCTAGCGGTGCTAGTTTTTTGTTGTGGGAAAGCCTTTGGCATGGTTTTGACTAAACATCACACAGGATGCGGTTATATTTTATTTCTATACAGAAACAAAAAAGGAACTGGTCCTAGAAAGCAACCCAAAGTGGGAGGCATTAAGTGAAGTCCTAAAAGAAATCGAAGCAGAGAATAAGGAGAGTGAAGCCCTTGGTGGCCCAGGTAAGAGCAAAGGGGAGATGGTGACATTGGCTGAATCTCTGTTTTTGTTTCTGAGACAAGATCTTATTGACCCAGAGTGGCTTTGAGCTTGCTGTCCCTCTGAGGCTGGCCTTGACATTCTGATTTTCCAGGCAGGTGCCACCAGACCCCACACAGCACCCCGACATTAGATATCCATCAGCTGGCTCCCAAGGCTACTCACCAAGCACAGCCTTCACTGCTTGGCTTCTCGGGACCTCTCTTTAGGATTCAGCTAATTCCCATGTGTATACTCGCCAGGTTTTAAATCTAGAATCTCCAAGGAATCGGCTGGTGGCTTTTCTGTTTTATATCCCCAGCCAAGTATCTTTCCAAAGAAGCTTAAATGCCTCTATTAACTGAGCCCTAGAAAACCAAAAAAAAAAAAAAAAAAAAATTCCAAGTTCTAAGCCTTCTACCTTCAAACAGGAACATGCTAACAGATGAGCACAGTAGACTAAGCCAGAACTGTCAATTCAAAATAAAACTAGAGAAAGAGTAGATCTACATGTTTGAAAACTAACTGAATCTTTGAACTGCCAAGTAATAAAGGCAAGCGGGGTGACATGGAGCGCACGGGAAAGGAGGACAAAGTGTCATGACACTATGGAGTGCCACAGTGAAACCGGCTAGTTTGTGCACTAACCTAAGTGCTTAGTGTGTCTAAAGTTGCTGAAGAGGCTGGAGAGATGGCTCAGCAGTTACAAGCACTCACTGCTCTTGGAGAGGCTGAAGGTTCAGTCCCAGCATCCACGTCAGGCAGCTCACGGCCACTTGTAACTCCAGCTCCAGGGATCTAGTGCCTTCTGGCCTCCAAAGTGTCTGTATGTTCACACTCGAATTTGGGCACATGCACAAATAAAAAAGTAAATCTTTTTGAAAAGGCATTCCTTATATTAGTAAATCCTGGTGATAATTACCCAGAACCTACAGCACTGTGGTCTGAGACCCAGGGTCACGTGCTCTCTGATAAAGTGAAGACTGATGCAGTGAGGGTGGGGCAAGATTCCCAACCCCAGATGATGCAATGCTGACGTCAGTATGTTTCCTTCCGGTTTCTTTCACATTTTCTATTTTACATTGTTAAAGTCATTTGGATGTGCCCAGCCCTTGGCCTGCAGCCAAGGCCAGCTAGGCATATGGCCCCCCAAAGCTTACACTCAAAGCGTTAGGAGGGGGCCTTTGCTGCTAAACTGGACAACCTAAGTTCGTTCCCTGGAAACTACATGATGGAGGGAGAGAACAGGGTTTCTGACCTAGACACACACACTAAATAAATAAAATGAATGTAATCAAAGCTTTAAAAAAACCTGAGGGGTGTTTGTGATTACACAGCTCTCAAGAGGCTAACTGGAAACCTGTCTTGTAATTGAACTTGGAACGGTCCTTCTGCTGCTACCTCCTAAGTGCAGGGATTATAGGCTTGTTACGCACTGGTTTTTTTTTGTTTTTTTTTTTTTTTTTTTTTTTTTAAAGATTTATTTATTATGTACACAGCATGTATGACTGCAGGCCAGAAGAGGGCACCAGTTCTCATTACAGATGGTTGTGAGCCACCATGTGGTTGCTGGGAATTGAACTCAGGACCTCTGGAAGAGCAGTCAGTGCTCTTAACCTCTGAGCCATCTCTCCAGCCCACGCACTGGTTTTTATATAGTCCATTTTCATTATACTTAGCTAACTAACTGGAAATTCTCCATATTTTTGTATGTCTGTATACATGCTTTACACATACACCGCAACTTTATTAATTTGAGAAGACATCATAAATTTTGTTCTGAATAAGCCCCTGCTCTCAGCTGTCTCTAAACTACAGCAGTTTCTCTGCTCCTTCTTAGTTAGGATAGTGATATTGATCCGCTGATTGTGTCTCCAGACTTTCTAATGCTGTTTTTGTTGCTCTAAAAATCAACCTTTAGATGCAATCTTCTCTGAGAACTATTTTTCTACTTTTAAGACTAGAAAATCACCTCCATCTTGGGGGTGAAGACAGGCCATCCTTTCTTATGATTTAAGATTTGACATTTGAATATATAATCCACTTGGAATGTATTTTGGCATCTAGGAGCCTCTAGAAAATTAGTCCTTAGAAGCTTCGTCAAAGCCTCCATTGTACCTTGGCTCTGCTTCTGTTAGACTAAACAATTCTGGCTTCGGCGGCGTCATTCCATGAATCAGTCCAGAGGTGACAGTGTGGGATTAGGGCCCAAGCCCCCTTTTGAACAATTTGTAAATTGGGTTCTTTAACAAGAGCAAGATGCCTTCCCATAGAAGGGGACAGGGGACCCAGGGCGACCCAAATGAGCCGAGAACGGGAGTAAACAAGCAAGCATGCGTTCTCTGATTGCAGGCCAGGTGCTGATCTGTGCGAGCGATGAGCGCACATGCTGCCAGCTGAGGGACTGCCTGACCATGGGACCAGAGGCCTTCCTGCTGCGGCTGTACAGGAAAACCTTTGAGAAGGACAGCAAAGCCGAAGAAGTGTGGGTGAATTTTAGGAAGGGGGACGGCCCAAAGAGAACTATGAAATCTGACAAGAGACCCAAAGACACTCAAAACAAAGAACGCGCCTCCACCAAAAAAGGGCCCCCCAAAAGGAAGAAGCGAGAGCTGACTCTGACGCAAGTGATGGGGACTGCTGAGGAGCCACCAGAGGACGGGGCTGCGGAGGAAGGCCCGTACAGACACGCCGCCAGTAGCCCAGGAGGCTGCGGGCAAGAGATTGAGCATGAAGCTTTTGATTTAAATTTGTCATCTGATGCAGCCTATGGCGTCCTGAAAGAGCCCCTGACCATCATCCATCCGCTTCTGGGGTGCAGCGACCCCTATGCCCTGACGCGGGTACTGCACGAGGTGGAGCCCAGATACGTGGTTCTGTACGACGCGGAGCTCACCTTTGTCAGGCAGCTGGAGATCTACAGGGCCAGCAGGCCAGGGAAACCGCTGAGGCAAGTCCTGCTCGGCGGTTCTGCGGGCTTTAGGACAAGAGGTGTTTGGCCTGCGTGGTGGTTTCTTACCGTCAGGCCCCTGGAGGTTGGTTTGACGCTGCTTTGTGATGAATGGGAGGAAGCGCTCCCTCCGTGAGGAAGTCCGGCCACCCCTGCTAAATTGCAAGATTCCAGAACCCCTGGCGTTTTTCCTGCCCTGCTCATATTCTTTCTTTATGTCTGAGTGTGTTGCTTACAGGGTACGATATCTGTAAAGTCTGGGAAATTTATAACGTCCTGTGTAATATCAAAGGTAATATGCTAATGACTTAGCCAAATGTTATTAATCTTCTAAAACACTGTAAAGTTTTAAACTTTCTTCATTATGTGTGTGGCTGTGTGCACACCATGACAACTTGCAGGAGTTAGTTAATGCCTTCCCTCCTTTTGTGGGCGCCAGGGATCGCACCCAGACAGGAAGCCCCTGCCTGCTGAGCCACCTCGCCATCTCACAGCTTACAGATGTTAGGAAGTGACTCTAGATTTCATTCTTATAAAACGAAAGTCAGGAATTCCTGTACCAAGTTTTCTTGGGTTTCTAGAAATATCTCTTAAAAATCTACCAATCTTTCAGATGAGAAAGTGATGCCTCCCAAAGAACACAGTGTTCTCACTCTCCAGCTAGCTACGGGGAAATAAACGTCAAAATTCATATCCTGAACTCAGTCTGAACCAGAAACAGAGCCAAGAGAAACCTTTGTAGCAGGGTAACTAAGGCAGCTTTGCAGAGCAGAGGCATGCCTCAGACGGAGCCCGGGGATGAAGGCATTGCTGCTTGGTCCTGCTCAGCCTGCTAGCCATCAGCTCCCGGGTAGTGTTCGTGCACCAAACTTCTTGCCCAAGAACAGAACACTGTCCTGTTTGAAATCAAATGTCATGAGCAGAAGAGACCTGGGAATTCAGCTGTTTGCTCTGTCAGTGAGAAACTGAGGCCCAGAAATGGAAGTTGATTTGGCTTCATCCACATGACACATTCAATGGGGCAGCTGAAATCTCCTAACTCACGGCCCCCCCTCCCCTGTGACCTTTCCCCTCTGTATGCTTCGAAGTCAGGTAGTCTGGGAAGGTTTGTGCTAAAAGTAAAGCAGGCTTAAAGGGAATATCTGTAATGGAGTAAAGTAGAGGTAGCATGAAGTGCTTAACTCAGCCTTAGCCACAAATGAGAAAAAGCAAGCTCTCTGGTTTTTTTAAACACTATTTTAAATGATGTATGTGTATGTATGCACCAGTCACCAAAGATAGAGGGTTGGGGGTGGGGAAGGCTGGAGTTACAGGCAGCTATAAACTACCCAGTGTGGGTGCTGAGAACTGAACTCTGGTCCTCTGCAAGAGCAGGAAGCACTCTTAACCAACAAGCCATCTCTCTAGCCCCAGAGCAAAGCCCTTTAGAGACAAAATACATCCAAAAAAAAAAGAGATTCCTGATACTACCCATGTATTTATATAAAACATTTCTGACTCCACTCTGTTGTGACATGAGAAAAGGGAACTGAGGAAGTACTGTGAGGGGAAAGGTCTTAAATGTTTGATGTGTTTACTTGTTGCTAGCATTGAATTTCCCTAAGCTGGTTCTAATGATGATTGTCCAACTTTTAAGGTATGGTTTGGCAGAAGTACAAAGAAAAAAGCTGAAAAAAGAAGCCTCGAAGAGATTTGTGGGTCTCTTTTCTGTATGTTTATAGTTAGGAGGAAAGAGTGCTTCTGTCCTCTAGTTAGATTTCAGTGTTTACCTGAACGGTGCTCCTCCACGTGATGAAAAGGAAAAGCAGCTCACTGGGTAGCAGCCCTACAACCCTTAGCAGGTGGGTTTCGTGTAGCTCCATCTGAGCCTTGTGTGCTGAGCGGGGCCTCACTCTCCCTTGGGTTGCTGTTACTTGAGCGTCCAGGGCTACTGTTCTCAGACAAGTCACTGTGCAGTCCTTCCAAGGATTAAGAATTACAGTTTTGCAACCTAAAAAAGCTCTGTCTTCACCCACAGGGTTTACTTTCTTATATATGGAGGCTCCACGGAAGAACAGCGCTACCTGACGGCTCTGCGCAAAGAAAAGGAGGCATTTGAAAAGCTCATTAGGTGAGGTGGGTGGCCCACCGGAGCCTTGCTTAGCTTAGCCCTTCCCAGGGCCAGTGGAGGGCCAGTGGAGGGCCAGTGGCTTCTCCGGCGGAAATATGGGACATCCCCCCAGGAAGAGAGGGCAGGAAAAAGGGGAGGGGAGAAGACTGGTGAGCTGGGGATGGCTGATACCTGGGGTCTGCCTCACACACACTGTCCTCCCTCTCCCTTACCCCTGCAGTTGCTTAATGCGAGTTTAGTGAGTAGACTCTAAGTTGTATCCCTTACCTGAAATCCTTGGAACTAGAAGGATTTCAAATTCTGTAATATTTCCATGTATGTGATAAGATGTGTTAGTGAGGGGATCCAGTCCTGAACAGGTGGTAGGTAGAAGGCGACAAGTTGGGCGTGTGTGTAGGTTCCTTCAGCACGGGCTGGACATGAGCTTCCCCTGTGCTATTGCGTTGACCAGCCAAACACTCTGCACTTCATAATGTTTTCAATTTCAGATTTTTCATACCAGAAATGTGTGAGGGAAACTGCTTTTTACTCATAATGTGCAGCACCAGACGCATCATAGAACACTGGTCTAGAAGGGAAGCTCTCCAACCCTGTACCCTCTGCTCAAGAGGCCTTCTTTTTGAATTACAGGTTTTCCCTCCTTATAAAATCTTGCTTGTCTGCAGGTGGGTAGTTGGGAAGTATTTTATGTCTCACCCCCACCCCCACCCCCAGTTCTGACCACTATAACTAAAATCACTCTAAGGTGGTATTTTTTTTAAGGGTGTGCTGTTTTTCTCAATGTGTGTATGGTTTTGAGAGTGGGTGTCATATTGCCAATCCTGGTAGAAAATGCTTTTCAGTTTAACAGGAGCTGGTTATGGAACAGTCACAAACTGGCTGTCGACCTCTCACCCCTAAGTACCTGGGGAGATCAGGTGACCTACCAGGAGTCATATCAATAGACTGCAGTGAACTGATGACCCAAGGGACTAAGAAGCCAGTTAGACTGGGCATCATAGTACTGAGCCAGAGAAAGCCTAGGCCAGACAAAGAAAGATGGCCTACATCTTTGCGTGCCTTGGACATTGGCAGTGTACAGTGTCAGTAAGCCTGACACTGAGCTAGACAGAATCTCAGAGTGGACAGTGTCCTCCAAGGCTGGCTGTGGGTGCTCAGCATCTGTGTACCCAGGGTAGCCCGGCACAGGCATGTCTAGAAATGGGTTTTTATAGGCTGGTGCCTCTGGTCCCACTGAAGGGCTTTAGCATGGTGTGTAGATAACACCCTTCCCTTTGTTATCTTCTCGAATAGTGGCGTTTCCTTGAAGCTGCTAGCCATACAGTTTTGTTACTCCATCCTCTTAGCCTATGGAAATGCACTATGGGATTGTTTCTGTTATGTATTGTGAGGTGTGTGTATGTGTATGTGTTGAAAAGCTATTTCAGATGTAGTATTACAACAACAGTTATTATACAGACAACCTCTTCTTAGTCACAGTTCACAGAGCCTCCTTTCTGTTCTCTAGACCTTCAGCTACTGAGTCTCCAACAGTGAAGTTACGTATTGAGCATCTCGTCCACGCAAATGCAGTGAGAAAGGGATCACGTTGAGCAGGTGTGTGGGAGAGCCCAGAGGTTCAAAAGGCCTGGAGCCTTAGGACTCTGTGGCAGTACTACACATTCTAGGTAGTATGAGGCTCATGCATTTGTAGAGATGTCTACGAAAAACAACTGGGGAATGCAGTTGTCTGCTGGGAGAAGGTGGCAGCAAAGATAGGTTAATGAAGAGGAGGGCCAAATGTGAGAGATGTTTAGGAGACGGGTCAGAGATGTGGCACCATCAGGTCTGGGCCAGCACCTCCCTAGGGTTCTTTTATTGTTATAAAAATATCCTTTATCTTATTTTTCTCTGATCAAAATAATTGTCACCAAACCACAAATGAACACCTAGAACTGAAGTATCCTTATTAGATCATTGGTTTTCCTGTGTCAAGGTCCCCAAGGTCACTCTCCAGTCAGTGATCTGCTTAGAAGGACTCACAATTAAGTTTGTCACAGAGAAAGGACACAGGTGAGACTCAGCAGGGAAAAGTGAAGTTAAGGAAACATGCAGGAAGGTGTCGCCTGGAATCGTGGAGGTGCACTCATCTCTACCACCGTGTGTCTCAGCACATGCAGACATGGCAGCAGGGACACTCATCCAGCCTTGACATCCACAGTTTTCGTTGCAGCTCAGTCCCATAGACACAGCACCCATGTGACTGACATTCATCTCTCCAACTGCAGCCTGCCAGAGCAGCATCAGGCATTCACCACCAGTCACAGTTAGCACTTGTACCTGTGACCCAAGGCCTTGGGCACAGCAACTCTCGCCAAGTACTGTTCCACAGGCTCAGTGCTCATCTCCAGGACCTAGCCACGGCCCAGCTTTGAGCATGCAGACCTTTCTTGGAACTTTGCCAAGCTTTAGCAACTGTACCCTGCTCAGTTAATGCTTCTCCCACACCTTGTTGTCTCCAAGGAGCTGATAGGCTATGAGACTAGAGTCCCCTAGGGGATGGGCTTTGTGCTCCAGACTTGGATCTTGCAGCTGCTGCCTCTTGCCTGGTTCATCAAGGAGCCTAATTGATAAAAGGGTTCTTGGAGTCAATAGTAGCAATGTGTTGTGCACCGCCATGCCTTTCCTGGCTTGTACAAATGATTCTGTTCATCAGGGATGGGGGCATCATCAGGGTAGAGGATCTGTGTAGCATGTTTGTGTCCTGAGTTAATTCCCAGCCCACAAGAAAATACACATCCATCTTAATGGCATTTCACCTAAAACTTAGCATCACTTTTTTCTAAACTCAGTATAAATCGTCTTCTACTTTGCACAGCAGTTAAGTGGTTACACTCTTCAGCATCTTAGGACTCTTACTTTCCAAGAAGATTGAGGAATTTGAGTGGTGTTTGTTTTTTAAAAATGCAAAGCAGCATTTGGGGTACATTGCCAGCAGGGCATTTGCACTTTGCCTGAATCAGGAGAAAATTTACTGTGACAGGAGGAGAACAGACTCTTGCCAAGACCTCCATGGGGGATGTAAGAAAAAAAGCTGGGCTGCTGTTTAAAATGACCAGGGAGGAATGAATCAGGCGGACTGGCAGCGAACAAGGACTGCTTAGCTGGCGGAGAGTTAAGTAGATTCAATTGCTGGAGAGTAAGGGCAAGATGTTGGACGGGTCAGCGGTTCACAGTGAAGGGTCAAGATCACTTGACTTTGCCGAAGAGGGCTTGCCTAGACACCGTCCAGAGACTCCTCGACTCTTCCTTTCCACATTACATCTTTATTAGAGCTATTCACATATCACTGAAAATCCCAGCACTCCGGGCCAACCTAGGCTACATAGTAAGAAAAATGTCGTTGAAAATATTAAAGCAACAATAGAAGACGTCAGTACCTGAGGGAAAAGTGGAAAGAGGTCTAGGATTTTAACTCTCTGTCACAGGGCTGCTAGAGTAGTTGTGTTGAGTGATGCCGGTAAGAGACAGGTGCTTGTGATTGTAGTAAATGTCTGTTAAACGAATTTGCACCTGCTCAGCAAGACTTGCTTTCTTTATGGTTACCAGTTCCTTTCTGGGGTGTAAATTTTCTCAGAAGTGGAAACAGTGCCAACTTCCTTTGAAAGCAGACCTTTAGCTTCTTAGTGTGACCCTGGATAACCGGGAACTACTCCTACTACATTCCATGCATCCTGTAGTCAGCCTTTTCAAGTAGACTATTGGCATTATTTCCATTTTACAGATTAAAAAAAAAAAGATTGAGGCAAGGAGCCACTGAGTTATTCCAGGTCACACTGCCAATAGATCTCTGTCTACCTACATATAGCAGATTCATCAGGAAGCTGGGGTGCGCCCACTCCCCCACCGTATGACCTCCATGTGAAAGTGGTAGAAATAAAAAGGATCTGCTGGTGTTCTTGGCCGTCCTCTCAGGTCCATTGGGTGTGGCCAGGAGATGCTGCTGGGCAAAGGTTTATGTCACAGAGCCCTTGACCTGGCCTACAGGACAGTGAGGAGACCAGCCAAGGCCTTGTCCGTCCCCACATGCTGGACTAGCAACAGCTCTGTACTCGTGGGTTGTTCCACACCATGTAGGGTTCCAAATTATACTTTGTGGCACACATGTGCCCGCATAGATCACACACACTCTGTTCTTCGCAGTGTTTAAGTGGAGTCCTGCTCTATTTCATCTCTGGGAAGTGAGTGTTGTTCTGACCCTGGTGCAGACACATTCATCTTAGCAGCTCCATCTGTCTTCTCCAGCCCCAGTCTCTGCTGAAGTTGTCAGTTCTGTGGGTTTGTTCATGGTTGCTTTACTTCCTCAGCTCTGCTGCAAGCCTCGAGAGAAAAGGTCCAGGTATGCATGTTCTGTCACATCAGGCATATATCAGACAGTGAGTACATACAGTCTCATGAGTTGACTGTCACACATGTCCAGTGGTTTCAAAGATAGAGGAGCTCTAACTCAGTATGGTGAGTTGGGGACTTACTTGACATAATGATGTCTGGTCAAGTCTTGGCAGGTGACACAGGTCTCCTTACCCATGTGTGTGTGAGATACTGGGTTAATCTGAAGACTGGAAGGGTTATATGGTCATCTTTAATTACATTTGTTTATTTGTTTTCATGCATGCCTGTGCCTCTATTCATACATGTGTGCATGTGCACTATGTGGAGGTCAGAGGACAACTTGCAGGAGTCAGTTCTCTTCCACCAAAGTGGGTTCTGGAGCTTGAACTTGGATAGTCAGGCCTAGTGGCCAGCACCTTTACCCACTGAGCCATCTTGACAGCCCTGTGATCATTTTTATATCCTGAGCTCCTAACACAGAACAGGGAGCACTCCATAATGCTTCCAAGCAAACCCACGAGACGTGGCTGCTGTTCCCGTCTCTTTCCCCAGATGTTGGTTATCTGCTCTGGTCCCTGACAGAAATTTTATTCTTATATTGACATTGATTCTCCTTTGAAACTGATGGTGTTGATGGGGCCTCCCACCTGGAGGTTTCCAGTCAGAGTCCTATCGTGTCTGTTTTCATTTTCTTAATCATTGACTGAACCCTCCCTACTTATGACCCTGAAAAATATCTGACCTTAAATGATTTGTTTCTCAATATTGATAATGCCTTAGCCTTGCAGCAGGCTCAGGCAAAACTCAGTCACAAGATAGAAACCAAAAGAGCTTCTTACTTGAATTCCGGAGGGTGAGGAAGGGAAGCCCAGCTAAGTGACTTCCTGCTCAATTCTTCCCATTTGCTTATTCATTTCTAATGTATTTCTTGCATTCACTTTTATGATTACAGTCAGTGCCATAGACAATCCTCCTACCTCGGCCTTCTGAGTGCTAGGATTACAGGTGTGCACCCCTGGTCTGCGTGTAGATCACCTTAGAGATTAGACTTTTCAAAAGATTCATCTATAGCTGAAGTTTTCCTGTGTCCTGCCCGGTCCTGTAGCCCCTTAGACCCAAGTAAACATACAGAGGCTTATATCAATTATGAATTGCATGGCCATGGCCTATGGCTCAATTTTCTTGCTAGGTATCTCTTATAACTAAACTCAGCCCATTTCTATTAATCTATATGTCGCCACGTGTTCCATGGCTTTACCTGTGTGCCATTACATGCTGTTCCTTGAACGACAGGATGGCGTCTCCTCTGGCTCTCCTTTCTTCTTCCTGTCTCTCTCCTGGATTTCTTGCCTGGCTATATCCTGACTTGCCATAGATCAGAGCAGCTCCTTTATTAACCAATCATAGCAGCACATATTCATAGCATACAGAAAGACATCCCACAGCATTCATTGAGAATGTTGAGATTAGTCAAGTGATGCTTATGATATTTGTTCCCCCAGGGAAAAGGCTAGCATGGTTGTCCCTGAAGAACGAGAAGGCAGAGATGAAACCAACCTGGACTTAGCAAGAGGCACAGTGTCCACAGATGCTCCCACTGACACTCGAAAAGCTGGTAAGTCCTGCCCTGGCCTAGCGCCACTTTTGCCCTTAGAGGAAGCTGTGAAGCCCCAGAGCTGCATAGCTGAGTTTTTCTAGATAAACTCTTAAAAACACAGGCTAGGGAGATTGCTTACCTGTGAGGAGTGCTTGACTGTTCTTGCGGAGAACTTGAGTTCAGTTCCCAGCACCCATATCAGGCAGCTCACAACTGCCTGTAACTTCAGCTCCATCCTGTGGCCTCTCTGTGGTGTATAGAAACTCATGCAGGCACACTCAAATAATAAATATAAAGAAAAGGAAATGATTGAGGAAGATTCCAGATGAATTCTACCAGTCAAGCCTTGGGAGAGATGGGTAAGTTCTATAACGCAGGGAAGCCAGAAGACTCACACAGAAGCTGAAGGGAGCTTTCCCTAACTTCCTCTGCCTGTCCTCTCAGGGCCACACATTGCTAGGACTTCTTGGGGCACACATGTGCCCTCCCTGCTCTGAAGTATTTTCTGCTTCTTACTATCTCTCTGGTCCCAGATGTTTGACATGCTACCAAGGCCTGCTGGATTCCAAGTGTACCTTTATTCACAAGAACTTCCATTTCCCATAGCAGCTGCTGTCAGCCAAGCGACATGAGAGGGTTAAAGCTGATCTAGCCTCTGAGGCGGTCAGATGCATTCAGAGTCCAGTGGACTTCAGGTGAATAGCTTTCATGCCTGAGCCTTCCCTGTGACACTCTGCCTGCCACAGGCTCAGAAACAATGGAGCCAGCTGCCTGTGGACAGAAACCCTGAGCCAAAGTAAATTCTTCCTCCCTTACATTGCTCTGTCAGGTGTTTGTCAGGGGCCGGGAGAGAGGGCTCAGAGGTAAGTTAGACGTTCTTGCATAATGACCTGACCTGTCCCACTAGGTAACAGGAAAGAAGAAGCCCCTATTGAGAATTGTCCTCTGATCTCCACACATGTGCTGTGCACTTGTGGCCTGCTGACTTCAAACATAAAAACTCTGCTTCTGTGGGTGGGAGCGTCTGATGGAGAAGGACCTTGGACTGCACACCCCGGGAAGTACTGCTTCAGAACATCTGTGCCTTTTTTTTTTTTTTTTGGCAGATTCTTAACTCTGCCTACCTTGGTGACCTTTTGGGAAGAACTGCATCCCATAAGACAGGGTGAAGGAGGGAGGTCAAGCCATAGGTACCTACCACACATAAAGCGCTTCCTAGAGGTCTGCCATTTGGAAGCCTCCATCTGAGTTTCCTATTGCTACTGTAAAACATTACACAAATATGGTGTCTTGAAACACACATTGCCCTCCTTACAGGTCTGCAGGCTAGACAGAATTCCAGCTGGATGTCATTGAGCTAGCATCAGGGTGTTCACAGGGCTGTTTTCTTCCTAGCGGTCCACAGAAGAGCCCTTTCCTTGTGTGTCCCAGTGCCTTAGAGATGACCTGCATTCTTGGCTCATGGCCCCTCCCTTGTTCTCATGGCCTTCAAAACCACACTGCTGTCTTCTCTGACCCTAGCGCCTCCCCTTCCTCTCCTGTGTGCCTCTGGGTCTACCCAGGTTCTTGATGAAGCAGCTTAAGGGGAGGATTGACTGGGCTCCTGCTCTCCAGAGGTGTCCGTCCACACTCAGCCATCTTCGTTGTTCCCAGGCCTGTGGTGAGGCAGGCCACCATGGTGGAAGGGTGTGTGACTGGAAGCTTTTCATCTGTGGCAGCAAACACAGAAAAACCAGAGGGTACGTGCAAGACACCCCTCAGTGGCATGCCCCGGTGGTCTGCTTCCTCTGATTAGGCCCTCTTTCCTAGCAGTCCATTCGACTGTGACTTCGTCTGTGCACTAGTCCTCGATGAAGTCAGAGCCCTCTGAGCAAGACTGCAGGAGCAAGCCTTGATTACACACTGAGCCTCTAGGGACACTTCTAATCCAAATCATAACATCAAGTGGCCCAGGGTGATCCAGCCTCAGAAAACTAACCTGAATCCCATTCACAAAGCCCTCTAACCATGCTAGGTAGCCCTGTGAGCAGTGACTAGGGTGCAGGCACTTGGGGGGCATAATTCTGCCTATAAAAGCCTTTAACACTTAGAAGTGCCCTTAAAGTGGAGGAGATGCTTCAGTGGGTAGGAATGCTTGCTGTTCAAGTATAAAGACCTGAGTTCAAATTCCCAGCACTGATGTTAAAAGCTAAGTATGGCCAGATGGACTGCACGCCGCTGCTGTGTTATGCAAGGGCAGGAAGATCCCTGGGGGCTTGCTGACTACTGGCCTAGCTCCAGGTTCAGTGACAGACCCTGCCTGCAGAGAATACGATGGAAGAAAAGGACAGATTGGACGCTCATCACCTTCCTCTGACCTCCACAAAGGGATTCAACATAGCTACACACACGCACATATACCACACATACCCACATAAAGTTGTCCGTAAAGCAACAGCGTTATCACCTCTGGAGGCTGTTGGAAATGAAGTTTTGGAGTCTTTAATCTCCCACCTGTTGAATTCAGAATCTAGCCACGGCCCCAGGTACGCACCTCAGTGTGTAAGAAACTCTTCCAAGCCTCTTGCCTTTGCCCGTCTCTAGACCCAAAGGTGATGACCGCAGCTCAGAAGGCCACTTAGCCCTTACTGTGCATAAGACCTGGAGACAGAAGACCAGTACAAATGTGGTCAGTGTTCCCGTGAGGGACCAGAGAGGAACCAGAACAGAGGTGTTTGTGTGCCACTGTAAATCATGAACTGCCAGCCCAGTCTAGCTTTCCTATTGGTTGCATTTAATTTGGGGAAAACTACCTCTGTTTTCTCTATAAATGCTATTTTTTGGAATATTAGAAAGTGTTACAGCCATCCATGCGAGTTTAACAACAGAAACGGATTTAAATCTATCAGAGTTCATCTCTGGGCACTCTTCCCTGTGACATGACCTAAATAACCCTTTTCATAGGTGGCCAGGAGCGTAATGGCACACAGCCCAGTATTGTGGTGGACATGCGTGAGTTTCGGAGTGAGCTGCCGTCCCTGATCCATCGGAGGGGCATCGACATCGAGCCAGTGACGCTGGAGGTGGGTGATTACATCCTGACACCCGAGCTGTGCGTGGAACGCAAAAGCGTGAGCGACCTCATTGGCTCGCTGCACAGCGGCCGCCTGTACAGCCAGTGCCTAGCCATGTCACGCTACTACCGGCGGCCAGTGCTGCTCATCGAGTTTGATGCGGGCAAGCCCTTCTCCCTGGTGCCGCGCGGTGCCTTCTTCCAGGATATGAGCAGCAGCGATGTGAGCTCTAAGCTCACACTCCTCACCCTGCACTTTCCGCGCCTGCGGCTGCTCTGGTGCCCCTCGCCTCATGCCACGGCCGAGCTGTTCGAGGAGCTGAAGCAGAACAAGCCTCAGCCCGATGCGGCCATGGCCATGGCCATCACTGCAGACTCGGAAACGCTGCCCGAGTCAGACAAGTATAACCCCGGGCCCCAAGACTTCGTGCTAAAGATGCCTGGGATCAACGCCAAGAACTGTCGCTCCCTGATGAATCAAGTGAAGAACATCGCAGAGTTGGTCTCCCTGTCCCAGGAGCGGCTCACAAGCATCCTGGGGCATGCCGGAAACGCCAAGCAGCTGCACGACTTCCTCCACACTGCCTATGCAGACGTGGTGTCTGGAGGCAGAGTGAGAAAGTGACCGCGTTCAGATTGCTGTTCATTAATCACTGCATAGCAGTTCATTCTTCCCCAGGGCTTTTGGGATGGGCACTCTATCCCCCACGATTTCCCCCAGAGCTCTGGGCTGAGATGTGTCCTTACCTCCCCCTGCTGGTTCTCGCCCCTCTGTGCCCTGCCTATGCTAGGCTTGCAGTGTTCCATTTTAAATAAAGTGTGGCGGGATTACGCCACGTGAAGCAAGCGGAGCCGATGTTTGCTGCTCAAGCCAGTAAAAAATACTCCATCGTGTTCCTAGCACTGTCTACACACGGTATGGTAGAACTGAGACAGGGCTGCTGTTCCTAACATTCTCTCCAGCCATATTCAGCTTCTTCACCTCCCACTCACAGGGACAAGCCAGCTCACTGGTCTCCTGGTCATCACATATATGTACATGTACTGTGACTTGGTTGTTTAAACCAGTGCTTTGGCAAAAATTGTTTGTTGACAAGATTTAATGAGGTCATGAAGAACTCCCCAGAATTCTTGATTTTCTCAATGTTTGACCTTCAAATTCCTACTCTAAGCCCAAATCACATCAGAGAGTCTTCAGACCTCCTCCTACCCCACATGTCACTGACGTCGTCCACACGTCAGTGACGCCAGCGTCATACCAGAAGCGCACCATCTCTGCCATGCCCACACTCCTGCCTGAATGAGGACCAGACGAGCTCAGAGGAGGTCCAGGTGCTTTCTAGATGTGGGTTTCCCCGTCACATTAAACGATTGTAGATCAATGGAAGATCAGTGCAGAGAATCCTAAGAATTCAAAAGAAATGCATAGATGCTTAAGACCCACAAACCAGTCTCAATGGTTGATTTAGACTGGCCTTTCTGTCACCACATCTTCATGCCGTCTGCAGACCGTGATACTCGAGTACTAGCTGTTTGGGTGTTCAGTGACAAGCAGTAAGTTTTCTACCTCAAGAGCTGATGCCAACATGAATTCTAGCCTTGCCACGTGACTTTCCTCAGTGTCAGCCGTCAAACTGATTAAAAAGTGGACCTTGTAGCAAAAATACTGTCTTCTCTGACTTTAACAAAAGCACTTTGAACTGAGCTTTCTTGTTGACATCGTGATTTATTGGTACTTAAGAGTACAGTTGCCTGTCCCTCAGTGTCCATGGGCGATTGCTTTCAGGGTCCTCTGATGGTGCAAAGTCTGGGTGCTGCTGTCCTTCTTATAACCTCTGCCTCCTGTGAACTTCAGACCACCTCTAGGTGGCTTACAGCAACTGATGCAGGACAGGTGGTGTGTAAGGGGCTCTCCCCCTCTGCTGTCCTAGGGGTAACCATAGAGTCTGCATGTTTGGTAGAGATGCATTGGTTTCCTGTATTTCTGATCCTTGGTTGGTTAAATTGGAGGATGTAGAGGACAGCTCAGGAGGATCTGTCGTCCTGTCCAGGGCCCTGAATGAACTGAGCGCTTCAAGACCCAGTCGATTATTGGAGGCTTCTGTTAGGTGGTATGGAAAATAGGGAGGAGAGTAGAAAGTAAGCTTAAGGTCGAAAAGGAATCTGAGCTGCTTGCTTCGTCCCAGGGATAACATGTATTTGCCTTCTGGACGAGGACAGAACTGCCTGGTGATGCACTCACCCGAGCGTTCACTGTGACTCCCACCTCCTTGACATGGGTGGGTCACTTCTACTTCCGGTGCACAGTCTCTTCTCTGTGTAATTCCACCCCCTTTTCTGTTGTTCCATAAAACAAAAATCATAACATAGCACATGCTGTGATGGGTGTTTCATTCAGAATTAAATTTTCAAAGCCACCATTTTAAACCTAGTGAAACAGTCTTTAACACACTGACTTCCAGTTCCCTCAGCTCCCCATGTCAGCTATTCACTGTGGCTCATGTGGGAATAAGCAGCCACACAGCCTGCAGCGGGCTTGAACGTGGCTGAGGGTTTCTACTGTCCTGGGTGAAGACTCACCACCTTTCCTGATTGTCTCACCTGTCTCCAGGTGTGGAACCCTTCCGGTCCATCCATCGGTTGTTTGGTTTTCTCGGGTTTTTTGGTTTTTTTGTTTGTTTGTTTGTTTGTTTTTACACATTTTTTAGAATCTTTGCTAAAGGAACAGGAAGCTGCAAAGAGAAAGTTCGTTGTTTCCCAGCAGCTTTTTGCTGCCTTTGACTTTCTTGTTGTTCAAAATCGTAGATACCCAGTTTACTGATGAGCTCCTGGGTAGCTCTTAAAAGACCTTCAAAAGCTAGGTCAGCATCATAGTTACAAGCTGTTTATATAAAGCCTTGCACCTAAAAATTACAAGGAATTACCCTTGGGTTTACTTGCTTAAATCCTAGCACCTTTCTTGGTGTTTTCTTAAAATAATATGAGCAGATATCCTACTTAATAGTAGCCATCAAGCAAATCGTGGTGGCACACAGCCCTAATCCCAGCTCTGGGGAAGCAGAGGCAGGTGGATCTCAAAAAACAAAAAGTGGCAACCATCAATACTGTCCTCAAGTAGTGACTGTCCCTTTGGTGGACGATCACCAGACCGTAGGCCTGCAGATGTCTGAGTGCTTTATGGTGCAATCCTAGTTCACAAGGAACTGGAAACGATCTCATCCAGCCCCATCAGGTCTGAGAAGTGTTGAGATGCAGGGACCAGGAGGAAGGAGGCTCAACTCTGGCCTTTCCTTTTGTTTTTCCAGCAGAATTTGATTTCATGTTGCCTTGGAGAACATCTCAAGAGAGGTGTGTGTGTGTGTGTGTGTGTGTGTGTGTGTGTGTGTGTGTGTGTGTGTGTGTTTATTCAGCATCTTCCTCAGCTTTGTGGGCAAAAAAAGCTTTTCATTATATAGAATCGATGGTTAAAGTGGGTTTGCTCTGAATTGCTGCTTCTGTCTGGCGCCCAGTAATCCACATTCTAAGTCATCAACACACTATCCTCGGTTGTTCCGTCTTTACATGCTGCGACATCTTATGAAAGGAGGTGGAGAAGAAAAGCTCTTGTCCTTTGGAAATACCAATTTGTTGAAAACAACAAGTGTGTGGCATCTGGGGCATCCAAACAAAGAGTCATCTCCTGTATTTTTATTCCTTTTAACTCAAAAGTTGGAAGTGGGATTTATGATTTCTTAAACAAGTTTAATTATAGATTGAATTGGGTCACCAGTGTGGTGTCCCGGTCGCTGCCTCTGCTTTGACTGTCCGTGCACAGCCCTTTCTAATGTATGAAGACTGGCTCTCTTTTGATGCTTTACCCTTTGAATAAAGACGGCAAACTGCTGAACCTTTTCTTCCCAAGACTGTGGATGGCCCCTGTGGATCGGCCATTCCTGCCTTACCCCATTTAACCCCAGCACAAAGCCGTGAAGTGCCAGTGTGTAAGCCTCCCTTGTGGTGAGGAAGCTGAGACCAGGGAGCTTGAGCAGTCTGCCCAGTGTCCTCCAGTAGGTATTCATAAAGCCATGATTTGAAGCCCAGACGGTCTGGCTTCAGAGCTATAACAGAGCATGGGCATGGGAAGGCACCTGGGAAAGGGGCTGTTTGGGGGGATGAGTGTGTGTGTCCAATTTCATGTCTGTAGCTCCACATACACTAAAGGAAAAGCAAACAGGCTTCATTCCTAGTCAAGATCAAGCACAGTTCTGGGTAGAGGGCCAAAGAATGCTCAGAGCCCTTGTGCACAGCTGCCTGTCGACTCTGACTCTGTAGGCCTGGGCACCTTCTGCTGGCTGATTAGGAAGGCTATTTGCAGCTCTGTTTAAAAAAAAAAATAGAGATTGTTGGGCTGGAAAGATGGGTTAGTAGTAGTTAAGAGCAGTGGCTGCTCTTCCAAAGGACCTAGGTTCAATTCCCAGCACCCACATGGCAGCTCACAACTGTCTGTAACTCTAGTTCCAGAGGATCCAATATCCTCTTATAGACATTAACAGACACCAATATAGACATAATACCAATGCACATAAAATAAAAATAAATAATTTTTTTAAACTAGAAATTTTTGTAGATGTGGTGATGCTTGCCTGTAATTCCAACACCAGCACCCTGGGGACTGAGGCAGGAGGATGGTGGAATTCAAGGCCAGCCTAGGTTGCATGGCCCATGATGTCTGGGTGTGGGTCTCTGCATCTGTTCCCACCTGCTGCTTCTCTAATGATGACTGTGCAAGGCAATGATCTAGGAGTATAGCAGAATATCATTAGGAATCATTTCATTGATTTTATTTATGTATTTATTCACCAGTCATGTTTGGTTCTACCCTAGGTCTCTGGGCTATCCAGGTCTGGAAAGATAGCTTCAGTGAGTGAGAGCATTTGCTGCCCCAGTAAGAGGACCTGAGTTCAAATCCCCAGCTCTCAATTAGCAGCTGGGCATAGCTCCATGTGCCTGTAACCTCAGTGCTGGTGGGTGAAAACAGCCTATCTGAAACCGAGTTTCAGGTCCAGTGAGACCTTGTCTCAAAAATAATGTAGAGCACAGCAGGGTAGGACACCCATTGTGTCCTCCCCCAGCTTCTACATGCATGGACACGGACATGTGTACATACATTCAAAACTATTTCATGAAAAAGGTCTTTACCTTATTTGTTTTTTCTTCTATGGATTGTGGTTTTAATTTTTGAAGACTACTTTTTGATAGTATTACAGCATTAGCTCCCATGACTCCCAGGGATAAAGCCTGTTTCCGGCATCATACATCCAGCAGTTACACCTCATTAAAAAAAGAGAGGATGTGGGCTGGAGAGATGGCTCAGCAGTTCTTCCAGAGGACCTGCTGCTCTTTCAGAGGACCTGGGTTCAGTTCCCAGCACTAACATGTTGGCTCACAGCCATCTGTAACTCCTGTTCCAGAGGATCTGGCGCCCTATTCCACACCAGGCACACATGTAGTGCACAGACGTACATGCAGGCAAATCACCCAGACACATAAAATTTAACAAAAAAAAAAATGCACTTTTTAAAAAGAGGATGCATGTACATATGCTGAGTACATATATATACAAACTGAATTTTTAATAAATATATAATTACATTTTATATTTATGTAGATGTTTACATAATACATAATGTAAATAAAATTTTACATACATAAGTTTACTTATATATAATATGTAAAATGCATGTATAATAATATAAATAAAATAAGTATATAAATATTTATATAATAAAATATATACAAAATATACATAGTTTTAGAACAAATATACAAAATAAAAAACATTGTAATGTTTTAGTTAGCATACAGAATGTCATTACAGCACTGCTATACATATATATCATGGTACTTTGTTCATATTTGTACCACACCTGTCTTTCCTCCCTCCGGGTCTTCTTCCCTCCCCCAGATAACCCCCTTCTGTTTTCAGGGTGTGACCATCAGTATTCTAGAAGTATAATTTGGTACTAAGATGTTAATATATTTAAAACTACAAGTTAATGCTTATTTTTAAAGATTTATTTGTGTGTGTATGTGTGTGTGTGTGTGTGTGTGTGTGTGTACACATGAGTGTAGTGCACAAGGTCAGAAAATGGCCTCAGATCCCCCAGAACACTTGTCAGATCCCCCAGGACACAAGTTCTGGACACTTGTCAGCTGCCTGATGTGGAACTGGAAACCAGACTCAGGTTGGAAAAACAATGCCTGCTGTCAATCGCTGTCCCTCTCTGCAGCCCCAGTGATGCCAGTTTTAAGAACTGTAGTTTGTTTTAAAATGCCAGTGCAGTAAGCAGGGGGTGGGGGGAGTCTCTGTCTCACTCTGTTTGCAAGAACTCAGCTTTGACAGCGGTCCTTTTCTGTGAAGCCATGTTAAAGAGACAGACTCATGGGTGACAAGGATCTAGTTCTACTGGAGAACACAGCTCACTGAGGACTGGAGGCTAAAAAAGCCCATTCTTGCTCTTAGACAAAAGATGTTTCCTGGGATTCCAGACAATGGCAATAAGAGCCAGCAGGCAGAGGTGTTTGCCACCAAGCCTGATGACCGGAGTCCTCAGGACTCACATGGCAGGAGAGAACCAATGCCTGGAAGCTGTCTTCTGACCTCCATACACAAAATAAATAAATATAATTCTTCAGAATATTTCAAAATAGTTAACAACGAGGGCTAATGAAATGTTGGCCCAGCTTGTCTGATGTGAACTTGGGATCCTTCTCCTATCATTTTGAGGTCCAGAATCTATCAGCAAGAGAGCACCTCTTGTCTAGTCAGGGATTTGTCTCCCTGTGCAGCTTTATTTCTGGGCAGAGCTACACCCAGTAGCAGCTGAGGAGAGAGCTGTGGGAAGCATGACTGGCCAAGTCTTCCTTCTACATCAGGCACTTATCACAGAGGGCACAGAGCCCCCTCTGTTTCTGCTGTCACTGTCCAGGTCATCAAGGTTCACTCAGCCCTGCAGCAGAGACAATTCAAAGTAAGAAAAGGCCACAGGAGGGATGAAAGGGCTCCACGGATCAGTGGCCAGCCATGGCATCAAAGCAGACGTAGAACTTAAGCTGAGTGGGCAAATGGCTAGGGTTTGGCAGACAGATTTGGAGGGTGCACTTGGCCCATTCAACCAGATTATCAGAGGAGTGGATGGTAATTGAGCTGTGCTGTTTGAAGAGTTATAGTCAGCAAAGTAGGAGCAGCATGGCTGGGTTGCCAGAAGGGCTAGCAGGAGGAGCTGCTTCTTACTCAGTAGAAGAGTGTGCCATTGAGAGCTGTTTGCCAGGTTTGGTGGTTCCCACTGGTGGTTCATTCAGAAGGCTGGAGGCACACAGGAGACTGAAGTAGACACAACACAGGTTCCAGGCCAGTCTGCCTAATGGTAAGCAAGTTTGAAGCCAGCCTGAGCTTCATAGGGAGATCCTGACTTAAAGAGTAGGAGCAGGGGCTGGGAAAATGTTTCAGTAGTTAAGAGCACTGGCTGTTCTCCCAGAGGACCTGAGTTCACTTCCCAGCATGGTGATTCACAATCTGTTGTGGAATAAAATAATTGTTTAACTATGTAAAGATGTGGTGTATTTGTTTATGCTGCATTTGTTTAACTATGTAAAGATGTGTTGCTGTTTCAACTTGCCTGCCTAAGGCACCTAATTGGTCTAATAAAAAGCTGAACGGTCAATAGCTAGGCAGAGGAGGGCTGAGCGGGGCTGGTGGACAGAGAGAAAAGGGAAACCAGCCAGCCAGTCGGAAGCTAGATAGCCAGACACAGAGGAAGCAGGAAAGCAAGATGGACAATATGTAGATGAGGTAAGTGAGCCTTGGGGCAGCACATAGATTAATAGAAATGGGGTAATTTAAGTTAAAAAAAAAAGTTAACTGGTAACAAGCCTAAGCTAAGGACAAGCATTCATAATTAATAATGCCTCCTTGTCATGATTTAGGGGCTGGCAGTCCAAGGAAGCCTGCTACAATCATTTGTAGTTCCAGGGGGTCCATCACCCTCTTCTGGCCTCTCTGGCACCAGGCATGCATGTGGTGTACATATATACATGAGGACAAAACACCCCTACACTTTTTTTTTAATTGAAGTTGGGCATGGTGGCTCACACTGTAATCCTAGTACCTGGGAGGTAGAAGCAGGAAGATCAGGAGTTCAAGATCATCCTCAGGTACTAGTGAGTTCTAAACCACCCTGGGCACTGTCTCAAAACAAAATCAAATGAAGCTGAGTTTGAAATGGAAAGGAACCAACATTAAATACTTGGTGTGCTGGGTATCTGATTGTGGTAGTTTAAATGGAAATGGCCCCATAGGGAGTGGCACTATTAGGAGGTGTGGCCTTGCTGGAGGTGTGTCACTGTGGGGGTGGGCTTTGAGGTCTCAGAAGCTCAAGCCTGGCCAGTGTGACACTGTCACTTCCTGCTGCTTGTAGATCCTAATGTAGAACTCTCAGCTACCTCTCTGGCCTCATGTCTGCCTGCATGCCATCATACTTCCCACCATGAAGATAATAGACTAAGCAGCTGAACTGTAAGCCAGCCCCAACTGAATGTTTTCCTTTATAAGAATTGCCATGGTCATGGTGTCTCTCCACAGCAATAAAATCCTAACTAAGACATTGATAGTCATCTTAAATCTCTAAGAGATTTTTTTTTAATCAATGTGGGCCATGGACGCCCACATAAAAAACCCACTGCAAAGCTCGTCTCTCTTCCATCCTTTTCCAGCTGCACTAGGGGAGGTGGGCGGTGAGACTACTTCCAGAGTCACCATACAGTCTCAACAACAGGAAATGAGGGTAATATATGTGGCCTCAGAAATGGAGAGGAAGATATAAACTGAAGAAGCATTATGGGCTGGGG